CCAATGAAAAAATTTTTCTTTTACTTTTCAAAGAGAAGAGCAAAATGGGGGGGGCAGGGAGAAAAATGCAACAATGAATGAATGGAAATCCAACTTTGTAAACGTTCATTAAAATAAAAAAATTAAAAAAATAAAACATACACTTTAAAAAATACATCACATTGTCACTATTCCTTTCCACTTTCCAGGTTAAAGCCTTTCCAGTGCTTCTCTTGGATTAAAACCTAGTATCTTCAGGTGTAAGGTCATTTTTTATTTAGCTTTTACCTCCTCTCCACCATCATCTCTCATTGAATTTCTCTTTGCTCTTCAAATGCACATATTTTTGTATACCTAGCCCTTAAATATGTTGTTTCCTGTCTCTAGAACATTTTCTTCAGGGAATCTTCTCTCAGAGATTTCAAAAAGTCTAGGTATAGAGAATGGCTCTATCCTTGAGGAGTGAAAGGGTGAGGGAGCGGTGTCCCTCTGTTTCTCTCTACCACAGCACCTAATGTACAATCACTGCCTGTCTCCCTCATAATCAAGGCCTGTCAGATTCATCCTTTTGGTTTCTCCTCATCCTTTCCCCTCTCCCAGCCTACCTATTGTTATGAGTCAAGAACAAACAACGTATGAACAGTTGCATGGAATATCGAACTGTTTTGTAAATTTCCACTCAAGTCACAATACAAGGTTGTTTTAAAGACCAAACAAATCAGCAGAGATGACCCTCTACTTTGCCAATCATGTTCCTTTCCCAGTGTCCATATAAGTGAAGTCTCACCACTATTGCTTCTAGAGGGAATTCTGGCTATATTTCTTTTCACATTCACTTACCGTCATTGAGTTGATTCTGGTTCATACCAACCCTCCATTTGATTTCTGAGGCAGGCTGTAAATCTTAACAGGAAGAGACTACCCATCTTTCTCCCTAGTGGCGATGATGGATTCAAACTGACACAGAAGCTTGGCCTCTTGGTTAACAGAGCAACACACTACAGACTATGCCACCAGAGCTCCTTTGTATTTCTTTCTTTCTTTTTGAGAAAATGTATATTTGGTATTAACAGGTTTGAACATATTCTTTTTTTAAATGTCCACTCATTCATCGTTACATATTTTCCTCCCTCCCCACCCCCAGTTCGCCTTTTTCCTTTGGAAAAAAATTTCTTACATTTTTATACAGCCTCCCACGCCCTGCCCCAGCCCCAGCCCTCTTATTCTGGACTCTTGTCATGCCAATTATACCTAATCATATGTTTATTTTATACAGTTCTCTCTTTGTTTGAATGCCGTGTAAGGGCCGACATATTCATTCTTTGGGCAGTCCACTGCATATTCAATATTCTTCACCAAAAGGCAGAAAAAAAATTAAATGAGAGATAAGTTGTTGTTGTTGTTAGCTATTATCTAATCAAATACAATTTAAAACAACGCTATGAACAACAAATCTGAACCCTGTGCTGTCCTCATCATCTCTGACATACTTGAGCCCATTGCTGCTAGTCACTGTGTCAATCCATCCCGGTTGAGAGTCTCCTTCTCCTAGGCTTTTCATGCATAATGTTCCTTTCCAAGTAACAGCCCCCAACCCCTACTACACTCAAAGTATATGAGACAAAGCTTTGTCATCTTTTCCTTTAAGGAGCATTCTGGTTGCACTTTCTCCAAGTGCATATTTTGGAAATTTTTAAAATTCATATATGTTTGTTCTTTTGGCAGTCCATGGGATATTCAGTACTCCAACACCACAACTCGAAGGCATCAATTCTCCTATTATCCTTTTTCATTATTCAGATGCAAAGCAAGTGAGTGAAAAGACCATGGCTTTATTTAAGTGCATCTTAATCTTGAAACTAAATTTACTATCTGACTCGACGGTACACATTAACAACCCGTCAGTTTAAACGGACTTTAAAGTAAGCTTGTTAGCAACCGATTCATAGGTGATACGCCAGCAGGTTCTCAGACGCATTAGATCACAGGGGAGGAGCTCGCCCATCCTCCTCTCGCGGAGCCAGCTTTTGGGACTGCAATGCAGCTTGTTACCACTAGGCCACCGGGGCAGCCTTGTCTCCGCCTCAGGAGGAAGGGGCGGAGCAATGCAAGCGCTCAGGCGGAAGGGGCGGAGCAATGCTCGCGAGCCACGCACCGGATATGATGTTACTACCGCGCTCTGCTCTGCTGTGGGGTTTGCAGCTGGCGTGTACGGTCGCGGTGAGTTAGTATAGCGGCTTGTTCTCATTTGGCTTTTGCTAACCATGGAGAGCGACTTTTACCTGCGTTACTACGTCGGTCACAAGGGCAAGTTCGGCCACGAGTTCTTGGAGTTCGAGTTCCGACCCGACGGTAAGAGCGGCCCCAACCACCTGGCTGCGGAGACGAGGCCTGGGGTGGGCCAGTAGGGAGTTTGAGGATTCAGAAAATGCGGGAAATTGGGGACCGAAGCTCGTGCATTGCGAGAATGAAAGGGACACTTTCGTGTACGCCAGAAAACGTGTACTAAATGAGACCGTAGTGATGAATCCGACAAGCCTTGATTACGAGGGAGAGAGGCATGGGTAGTGCATTAGGTGCCATAGTAGAAAGAAAACAGAGGGACACCTAAGTTAGTGTGAGGTTCAGAGAAGGTTTCTGAATGAAGCGACTTTGAAGCTGTGTCTTCAGGGATTTGTGTTTGTTAGAATTTGGACAGCATCACCAGTTACGGGCCTGGAAACAATACATGACATGTTTCTTGCAGAAACTAAGTTATTTTGTTAATTCCAGCCTTTTGAAAGCAGAATATTGCAGTAATGACGCTGGTAAGGCATGCAGGGCTCAATTTAGCATTTATGCAGTGCTTAAGAATTTGGATTTTTTTATTAAATTTTATTAGTTTTAATGAACATTTACAGAGATTTTGGGTTTTCATTCATTCATTGTTGCACCCCTTTCTCCACCCTCCTCCCCAGTCCGATCCTCCCTCCCCCCCATGTCTGTTTTAATTGTTCAGTTGCCACAGTGCCCGCCAAAGCCAGTTCTGATCAATCTCCTTTGTCAGTGTGTCCCTTGCCATTCCCTGTCTCTCCTCCCTGAGAGAGACTTCACCCTGATTCATAAGGAAAAGGGGATGGCGCATTCTCTTAGCTACTTCCTGCTGAAAAGGGACACTGTGGGTTTCAGGGTGAAGGTCTTCTGTCACTACTCTAAAGGGCCCCTTTGGCAGTAGGAAACACGTAGACTATTATGGAGATCGACCCTGGAATTTAGATGCACTGCCATCAAAAGAATTTGGATTTTTACTACGACAGCAGGGAGCCTTGGAAATATGTATCTGATTGGATTAAGGTTCAAACCAAGTTGCTCCTTGGAGGCAGATTTTGAAGCTCCATCTCACATACTTTGGGCATGTTGCCAGAAGGGACCAGTCCTTGGAGAAGGACATGCTTGGGAGGAGAGGAAGAGATTCGATGGATTGACGACACAGTGGTGGAGTAATGGGGGTGAATGTGACAGACAGTGAGTTTGGCTCAGGGTAGGATTCAGAACTCTATAGGGTCACCATGAATCATAGGGGACTGGAGGACACATAACAATCAGGTCTTTCATTAGATCACTTTGTCCATTGTGTTTTATTTTGGGTTTTTTTAATGCTTTCTGTGTGACAATTTTTACATCCTGTTCATCTTTTTAAAATTTTTTATTAATGATCTTTTTAATGCAACGTATATATTTTTACAGCATATTCTTTCCATTTAATTTTTCCTCATTCATTGTTGCATATTTTCTTCCCTTCCCAGCCCAGTTCATTTTTCTCTTTGAAAAGAAAAAAAAAATACTCTTTCATTGTGATACAATCCCTTCCCAAGTCCTCAGTCTACTTTACTATGCATTTCTTTTTCTGTAATCTTGTCATGAAAATAATACCCAATCCTATCTTCCTTTTTAATCCTATATTCCTTTTAATCTGCCTTCAGGCCTGGTTCAAATTGTGGGGTTTTTTTGTGAAACATTGTTCTAGGTGGTATAGCACTGGTCTGTGCATTGCTGTACAGAGGTAACTCGTGGTTGCTGTGATGCTAAACACTGTGACACTGATGTGCCAAATGTGATAATGGTTACCCATGGCGTGTTTGGTGGAGCTTCCCGACTAAAACAAGCTTGGAAGCAGGGGTGGCATCCACTTCCAAAATGGCTTGCCTCCATAAACTCTGTGAACAGTGCTCAGGTCTTCCATTCATAGGGTCACAATGAGTCATCTACGACTTGACGGCACCTAACAACAACATATTCCTTTTAAACAGTTCTCTCCCTCATCTTTTTCATTGCAGTATACATTATCCCCTCTTTTCTTAGGTTTTCTACTTTGTCCATTGTATAGGAAATGAACTGGAGGAAGAATGCACGGTAGAGAAACAGTGTAGACTCTCGGGCAAAATTGCTCTTGTACAGTGCAAAAATTTTTTTCTTTTATAGAGTAAAAAAAAAGTTACATATTTCCTTTTATTTTCTCCTTCTTTCCTCACTATATATCTAACGAGGGAATCCTGGTGGCCTAGTGGTAAGACATTGTGTTGCCAACCCAAAGGCACACTGTTTGGATCTATCAGCTGTTCCATGGAAGAAAGATGAGCAGTCTCCTCCTGTGGGAATTACTGCCTCTGAAAACCAGCTGAATGATTAACTAAGACTTGACAATATGTAACATATGTCCAGTTTAGCTTGTTGGATGACATACATGGAGGTTCATAAAGAGCCTTGTACACTACATGAGCTCAGTGTGAATCCATCACAAAATTAGAGCAGAGATTAGACTTCTACCTGATCATTTCTTATGAGATCTATATACATACATGTATCTCCAGCATTTTACAGTTCTCAAAGCTTTCACAACTCATTTGAGCTTTAGAAGGCTCTAGGTGCGGGTTAGTTATCATTTACTCTTCTGTTTATAAGTTAGGTCATTAACCCTTTGTTATTGTTGAGTGCTGTTGAGTCAGAAATGACCCAGAGTTGACCATCCAGCAGGTTTTCAGGGGCAGTAAAATAGCATAGGAAGAGATTGCTTGTCCTTCTGCCACAGAGCAGATGATGGATTCAGGTTGCGTACCTTTGGGCTAGCAGCACAGTTCCTTATCTCTAAGCCACCAGAGCTCCCTCATTAACCCTTAGAGATGTGATCTACCAAACTCTCGAAAGAATCGGCCTGTATTTTAGCACACTTGAGCTGCCTTTTCCAGAAATAAAGTTCAGTGTCAGCTGTATTTTTTTACTTTGTGAGGCTCTTTAATAGCTAAAATGAAGAATTAAGAGTAGCGTTGTTGAAACACCAAAAGTTTAAATAGTAAATCTGTTAGATAATTTTAAGAGAAAGTTAGAATATAACTTAAGCAACAGTTGATAGTCTTGGTTACTAATAAAGTTTTAGTGATCTGTTTCTGTGATACACTGAATCTGTATTTTTGCTCCCCACAGGGAAATTGAGATATGCCAACAACAGCAATTACAAAAATGACGTCATGATCAGAAAAGAGGTATGACCCTTCTGACTGCCTTTCATTTGTTACAGTTCAGCCTTTGCCTCCTGATTTTGTTCTTTCTGGGTTGTTAGGTGCCTATAGGAAAGATAAAAAATGGAGAAGTATGTATCTGTTGACTGATTCTAAATTTTTTTCTCTAATCTTTTAGTTTGTTTTAGGTTTTCAGGGTTTTCAGAGGCCTGCTATTTCAGAAGTGGATGGCCAGTCCTTCTTCCTAGTCTGTCTCAATGTGAATGTTCAGATTTAGATAAGTATTAGACAGACCAGCAAGTTAAAGGTATATCCCTTATTGCGGAGTTAACTTTAGTGACA